TTCCGACAGCAGGAGTTAAACCTCTGAGGCCTCCCGGACCTCCAACCAGGGAGACCACTGATTCGCTGTAGCCTTACAACGTTGTTATAAACAAAGAAAAATCCCAATCACTTGATTTTACCAATAAAGACTCTGGAGCCAGATATTGGGGTGAAAACCTACTAACTCAGAGAGGCAGAGAAGGCACACAGCTGATCTTACAACTCAGCTCACGTCACAGAGGAAAAAGCCTTTCTTGCTCAGCTCTCATCCCAGATGGAAAAATGAAAAAGCCAAAAGTTCCTCCTCCTTCAACATGCTGTCTTAAATACTCTTCTCTCGATATCCCTCCTTTTTGTTTAATCCCTGTCAGTTGGTTTCTTGCTCTGCCTCTTGGCCTAGAGGTGACTTTTCTAGCCCTTGAATTCAAGGTGTGTGCTAGGACTGAACCGAAACTACAAGTACGTGTTTACAATAAACAGAAAGCTCTTGGGTTAAAGGTGTGTGCTAGGGCTATGCCACTCCATGACTAGAAACAGATTTTCACAGTTCACAATCTTGGGGTTCATAGTGGGGTCAAATATCCTGCTTATGTGCTTATCACAATAAGTCACCAACAAAGAGAAAAGGGAGCATCCAAGTCAAGGCAGCCATATTCTGCAGCCTCCACCCTTCCCCACCCTAAATCAGCCCTTGGGTACCAGGAACCTCAGGCCCTGTATGGAAAACATGGACCCATTGCAAAGGCCAAGACTAAACTCAGAACGGCCACTGTCTTTCCTCTTTTCACAGAAACACCCAAGAAATCAAAATTAAAAGTAGACAACGACGAATATTCCTCTGGCTTAGCAGCTAGCAAAGCAAGTTTGAAAGGTAATGATTGTGATGATTTTAAATGACTGTAGAAGCTACTACAGCCATAAGAAGGTAAGAAGTGCGAGCTTAGCTTGACTCCTGCCGAGGAGAGCCCTCCTCGGCAACCTCAGCTAAGGTCCACGGCCAAGGCATCATCCCAGGAACAGAGCACCAAGGAGAGACACTGAATCAGAGGCAGGGGCATAGATGTTTAGAAAAGAAAAGAAACAGTGAGGAGATAACGGTTGTCGTACATAACTCATCCAAAGACATTTTTGAGCACTGAGCGGGATTTTGAAATAGACAAAACCTCCAAATTCTAATAAGAAAGAAGAAATTGGAACAAGGGGAGGAGACTGACACTAAATGGGTGTACAGCTACAGGCTCCATACTGCCGTGGACTTCCCCGCAGGTGTGATCTCACCCTCCATCACTTCCTCTTACCCCTCAGCTACTTAGAAGGTGATCTTAAAATCAATTCCCCCCAGAGATTAAAAGTCCACATACACGGCAGTCATAATTAATCCTATTCTTTTCAGCATTTGATGCTGATGAGACAGAGAAAGATTATAATAAGAGTCCAACTCAAACCTACTATCTAGAGATTCTTGCAGAGTACTGTGGGCTAGGAAGGTGCCCCGGTAGTCACCTCCTTGTTAGCCCCTCTTATTCCAAGTCTTGGAGGGGAAGCTGGGAACATGCTGAGGCACAGCCCCTGAAGAAGGAGGTTAAAACAGAAAGTAAGGGTCTCCAGAAAGAGACAGAATGAGCCACCAGAAAGAGACAGAATGAGCCACCTAGGACAGAGCCAGAAGTCTGGCTCCGTACTCAAAAGCTTTGCTACGGGGAGGGAACTGCCACATTTAAATTGGGTCCAGTCTGCGGCTGAGTTCCTGAGGTAAGGGAATCAGCTTTCCTGAAACTTGACATGTCACATCAGGAACTAATTCAGTGTCACCTTGGTAGAAAAAAAAAAAAAAAAAAAACTTGGCACACTCACCCATGAGCCCAGTGCCACTTTATTAAGTGTTTATTAATGAAGGCTAAGCTGACTCCCATGAGAGACAAAGATAGGTGAAAATCTTTGGGATGGAGCATCCCAACCCACACAGCACCCCTTCATCACAAAACGTGAGCAATGCAGAACCATGCTCTCCAGAAAACAACGTGGGGACTGAAATGAAGGGCTGGGGTTGAGCTCTTCTAATCTTAGGAATATGTGCATGTACCCTATTTCGTACCCACCCATCCCCAGCAGGTTGTCCAACAAACTCTTTCAAACTCTGCATCTCCCCCCACCCCTGTAAAATACGGTTTTCTCCATCAGAATCCCTTGCCGCAGCTGTTTTGGAGAAATGCTGTTCAAAGGTCAATGTGCAACACAGTTGCATTGCAAAATACACCTCAGTGGAAGAATCCTTCCCTAGTAACAGGAATCCTGTTTGAATACAGATTCCCAATGGCTAGGTCTGGAAAATACTGGCTTTCGAATGGGCTCTCAGCTGCTTCTGATGATCTGAGGATCAGATCTGGGTAGCCAGACTCTAGGACAGCTTTGTGAATTTGCATCACAGCAGCCAGTCCAATTTAGCTCTCTGCCTCACCGGAGCAGAGGAGTTAAGACTGATCTAAGTTGTTGTCAGGTTGTTCGTTAATCTCTGGGGTACGGGTGCCCATCGCTCAGAGCTGGGCCTGGACTTGTCGCTGAGTTTCTCCTCCTCTCATGTGACTTCAGTGACACAGCCACACAAGCCTTTCTGAGGACCAATGCAGTAGAATAGGGGATGCAGTAAGGACCCTGGCAATGGGGTTTTGTAATGAGATCGAGAGATTGGGACTCAGTCTTGAGACTGAGATGGGGCCTTGACGAATGGGATCCACATCGAAAGAGCAGGCAAAGGTGAGTGGATAGAAAGGACTGTGAGGAGGTGTGGGGGGAAAGGGGTTCTCACTGAAGGCAAGCTAGGGTAATCAGACACCTGGCTTGATAGATTTTCTGAGCCAGTAAAGAATGAGGCCCAGGTCTCGGGGTATGGTGCTCCCCCTAAACAGACTCAGCAAGGCACTTGCTATAACTAGGTTTCAGAAAGAAGTGAATAGATGGGTCAAGGAGCCGACTCAGGAGGTAAGGACACTTTGGCCAAGCAAAGGTTTCTGTCTTTGGAATATGAGGATCATTGTCTAGACTCTAGGTAGGAAATATACATGGCTTAAACATTTGTCACTACTTCAAGTATGCAGTTCTATCGAGAAGAGCCATAGAGGACGATGCACCAAAATAAGATGGAATCATAATGGAAAGGATGTGCTTTGGGGAACATCCCAATACAGAATGTTTACTGGGCTTTGGCCTGTGTTCAGTCCTGGCCCCTGAGCCACCACAAGATGAACTTCATGGCACGGGTGAAGAAGGTCTACGGTGTGAGCAGGAAGAGTGACAGGACAAGCGGCACAGGTCTTGTGCGACAGGTCCAGCTCTTGCTCCTGGCCTGGTACACACCTGTCCCCATGCTCCAGAGGACAGATAATTATCTTATCAGAACAGAAGCAGGGGCCACAGGAAACCCCCAAAGGAACCATTAACCAGAAATAAAGCTCTTCTTACTCAGCCCAGTCACAGCTCTGGCCACTGCTTGTTGACAACGCTCTACCTGACGTGTACATGAAGCCCCCAGTGATGTTAATAAGCTTAACAAGCCCAGCATGCTGAACCCAGTGTTCCAAGGAGGCCAAGCTCACCTCCTCCTTGCAGTAAACACTTGCTTTCTCCTTCAGTTAACTCCGGATTATTCAGTAAAGCCTGTTGACATAAGGAGTCACTGTTGATGAGGTTTTGCTGAGCTGTCTGGCCCCAGTCAGGCTCAGACTCCATCTCTGGCAGCCACAGAAGCCAGTGACATAGCAACTTAGAGCATCTTACCCTCGCCACTTGCCTTTGCCTTGTGGTCCTTTGGGATCCTGTTGTGCCCCTGTAAGAAGTAATGGGGAAAACAGCCACATGTGAATTCTCAGCTGACACAAGCTCGTCTGGATCAAACTGTGGATCTGCAAATGAGGCCTGCTGACAGGAGGAGTCACCCTGTCGGAAGCATGCAAGAGTCAGGGCTTTTTCTATTGAACCCAAAATTAACAGGTGGGCACCGCAAGGACCACCCTTGCTCGGCACCAAAAAATGCATGATGAGGTCACAGAAGTAAATGAACCAAGCGAGCCCTGTGCCTCCCTGTGGGGTTTCCCAGGCTCTCTGGGTCTCCAAGCTTGAAGGATCTGTGGCACCTTGAAGCCGAGGCAACAAGCCGCTGTCATTTCCCTGGGGCCCCAATTATCTAGCTAGAGCCACTTCCTCCAAGCCCACCTCAGGAGCCACACCTTCCCAGGAGGTGTGGGTTAGAGAGACCAGAGTTATAATTACCAGTTCCACAATTCAATTTGCACCCACATCACCCCAGAGGCCCAAAACTCTTCTCCTTTTCCTGAGCCACCAGGCTAGGGCTGACTCTAAATGCAAATGTTTGTACTGTTCCTGCTGGATGCTCTTAGCTGCTTGGACTAGGGAATCCTCTCCTGTCTTGACTAAGTGATGGTGAGCCACAGGCAAGTGTAGAAATCAGCAAATTTTCAAGAACTAGTGAGAGATAGAGATGGTCCTTAGAATTTCTGATGTAAAGTCACATTCAGACTAACTCTCCCTTGAGAATTCAGAGCCCTTCTGCCAATCCACAAAGATCTCTGACAGCAAGTCCCTGCCCTCCACCTCCCCTCTTGGCTCCCCCAATCACCTTCTTCATGCTCCACACCAGGTATCCAGTGCTTTTGCAGTTTTACAAGTGTATCTCTCCAGCACCCATTCCCTTTGTCAAGGTGACATTCACCAGACACCTGGAGCACAGCAGCTCCCTCAAATCAGCCACTGAAAGCATAGTTCATGCCTTTTTTTATTATTACCCCATGTTGGCTCTTACATAATTTGATGAATTTGCTTCATTGGTGACACCTGCGGTTTTGTTTTGTTTTTGTTTTCATTGGGGGGGGGGTTGTTTTTGTGAAATGATGAGGGCGAGGTCATAAATCTCTTTCTTTTCACTCTTCTTTTTTTCTCTTTTCTCTCTCGTTTGTTTTTCCCTCCGAATACGATTCCTTTCGGTGTTCCTTCCCAAATTGAAAGGCTCGGATAGCTTCATTCAAGGAACCATTTTGAACACCTTAATGAATGATACTTTTGACAGGAACCAAGAGGAAACCCTTGAAGTAAGTAGGTGAGGAGCTAAAGTCCCCTACCTCAAAGGAGACATGGCTTTTATGTAGCTGATGGAGGCTCTGGGATGGCAGGCCACATTTTGACTCCTTCCAGAGCATTCCTGGGGAAAAATGGACTCAGCAGGGACCTCCTATCACAATCCCCTCACCATCCAGGGCTTCGCCACCAGAAGACATGAAACACAACCAGACTTACTATTTATTTGTTGCCTTAGTAGTCTGATTCAAGCTAGATTTTGAACCTACCTTGTACACATGATTTTTAAATGGTGAAACTGTAAAAAGGCTGTAAAGTAAATGTTTCAACACTTCTCCTTACCTACCAGAAATAGGTATTATATGGTGTACTTTATAGACACATCTGGAATTTTTAATACACCTTAAATATACTTATTACAATAGCACAACTAGTTGCCATAAAACCAGAATATACATTCTATTTCCCAGTTTTCCCTTGATAATAAATTTTGGAAATCTGTGGTATTTTTCCAGTATTATACAGTATATAATACACACACACACACACACACACACACACACGCACACACACACACACACGCAGAAGAGAGAGTGAAAGAACAAGAGAAAGTACATCCCCATCCTCAACTCAAAAAATAATGACAGCTGTATGTAGCAGCCCACACTGTGATCCTAGCACTGGGGAGGCTCAAGCAAGAGGACTGGTGAGTTTGAGTCAGCCTGGGCTACCCTGTGGAGCCTTGTGACTAAAGCAAACAGAAAACAAAAACAAGAACAGGCAAACAAACAAACCTGAGGTAGGTTTCCATCCAAGTAGGCTGCGCCTGTTTTCCTTTTTCCAAGAGACTGAGAATGCCCCTCCATGCGGGTCCTGACCAGGACCCATCTGGCAGGGTGGAAATAGGGATGTGTTGCCTTTTGTGCTCCAACTGCATGACAGTGAGGCACTTCTCCAGGTCATGGCCTCACTTGTGACTGCTGTGAGCACCCGGTGTCTTTCTGCCACCGTGCTGCTTGTACCCTTTCTTTCCTTCCTGGTTTGCAGGGACTTCTTTTTAAATATGATTTATTTTATGTGTGTGGGTGTTTCGTATGCATGAATGTCTATGCACTATGTGCATGCCTGGAACCTACAATGGCCAGAAGAGAAAGTCAGGTCCCCTGCAACTGGAGTTACAGATGGTTGTGAGCTACCATGTGAGTGCTGGGAACTGAACTTGGGTCCTCTGGAAGAACAGCCAGTGCTCGTAAACACTGAGCCATTTCTCCAGCCTTGTTATCACTTGAATGTATAGAAGAACCGAGTCCTTTTCCTGACACCTGTGTTGTGAAGGTCTTTATAGTCTATATTACAAACCTTTCATGGTCCTCCCCACACCATGGTCACTTTTCATTTTTATGTAGTCTCATTGATCAATATTTTCTCTTATGGCTACTAGCTATTTATTGTCTTATTTTATTAAAAGGGTTTTTTCATGCTCAAAAAGTATTTCATAAGTCACTTGGAAACTTTTAAGAGTATAAATAAGGTCTATTTGAAATATGTATTATTTACATATATACATATGTGTGTAAATATGTATATATGTATGTACATATATGTGTGTGTTTACACATACATACATACATATGATTTAAGAAAACCAGCCAGAGTACCCTGAAATATTGAGAATCAATCTTACATTTTTAAAGGCCACTCTGCTAGTAGATGGTGTGTGGCGATGGAAAAACTCAGAACAGGGGGAAAAGCAACTTCATAGTATCAGTACGGATGAACAGTAATGATGGCTGGTTGCTTAAGGGTATGTATGACATAGGATGCAGTGACACCCAGCAGACTGGAAAATTAAGGAGGGAAAAAGGGATGCTTTCAGGTTAGAGTCAGAGACTTCCACTTGGCACACACTGAATAAAAGTCAAAAATAAGCCAGGCAGTGGTGACACACACCTTTAATCCCAGCGCTCAGGAGGCAGAGGCAGGTGGCTCTCCTTGAGTTCGATGCCAGCCTGTTCTACAGAGTTCCAGGATAGCCAGGGCTACACAGAGAAACCCTGTCTCAAGAGAAAAAGTAAAAAAGCCAAAACTAGTCCATCTTGAGCCTAGGAGAAAGATCTTGGTTGGGGAGATGGTTGTGGAATTTTTATTAGTTTATTAGAGTTCTGAAACAAAGCACCAAGGAGTGATTGGCTAAAGCAGCAGAAGTATGTTGACTTTTGGGTCTGAAGGCTAGAAGCCCAAAGTCTAGGTGTTGGCAGCCTCTGAGGAAAAGCTCCGCCCCAGGCCTCTCTCTTAGGCTTGCAGACGGCTTCTTCCCCATCTTCACATCATCTTCTCTCTGTGTCTTTTCTTTAGTGACCAATATCCACTTTTATAAGAATCTAAGTCATGTTGGAGGAAGGTTGTGGTAGTTCACGTTGACTGTCAGCTTGATGGGTTAGCATCACCTAGGAGACAAACCTCTGTGAGGGTGAGGGACTCCCTCCCTAACAGTGAGTGGGAAACCTGCTCCATGTTTGGGGATCTGAGGCTGAAATAAAAGGAGGAAGGGAGCTGGGCAACACTGTAATGAGTTCCTCTGCTGCTCGAGGCAGTACCAGGGCCTCAGACACCGGATTTCCATGACAGGCAGGCTGTTCAACAGCTCTGCGTCACTGTAACAAAGTACCCGACACAGCTACTCACCAAGGGAAGTTTATTTTAGCCTACTGTCCTGGAGGTCCATATCCAATACTGGGTAGCCCCAGCCATTTCAGGCCACTGCCGTATCCTGAGCCAGAAGAATCAAAGGGTAAAGGGAGATGAAGGTCATGTAAGCCCTTTAGGTGGCATGCCTCCAGCAGCCTAAGGACTTCTCACTAAGTCCTCTATCTTAGAGGTTCCATTACTACCATGGAACACACAGGCTTAACATGTGGACCCTTCCTCACACATTCAATTTCTGGCTCTCAACCTTATACCTGGCAACATAGCGCTTCTCTAGGTAACCTGGTAGAAAGCATGTGTGGGCAAGTTCACATGGTACAGGCAGCTGCTAATACTTCTGAGGAACCTTTTAAAGTGATTCCAGAAGCCACTGGGAACAACTAAACACAGCATTGAGCCCTCCCTAGTGGTATCCTGACACCTCAGCCCACCTGTTACTTCTAATTGCCATTACTTATTTTTACTTCTAAGATACATACATGTACCACAATTGCATGTACATTTGCTGTGCAAACCTTTCCCCCCCCCCTAACAACCAGAGATTTATCTAGGGGGGTCTCTGGGCATAGGAGACATCACCTCACCTCCAGGGTGCCAAATAAGCTTAACCACCACAGAGAGATAAATGGCTTCTCCCCCCAGTGGGCTGAACAAGGGAATGGAATGTGCCATCACATGCTGGCTAAATAGAGTGGAGCAGCAGCCTAGACAGGACAGGAATCTTCAGTGAACCCATTCACTTGGGTCTGCTGCCTGGGGGATTACAACAGACACTATTTTCTGGCGAACAGAACATAGACTGTAAAGTGTAGTGAGTCATTCCATTCCCAGGGACATAAAGGCAGGAACACCAATATCAAAGGCCTTAACCTCAACCTTCCCTGAAGCAATGGTGTGAGTATGGGGGAAAGAAGTTTTCAGAGATGAAGACCTAAGCTGTCCCTTTAACCTAGAAATACTACCAACCACAAAGCTATATCCCTGTAACTGCCCCCACGTCAGATATAACTTTGAATGGTTAAGGTTAGATGTTCACTTCCTGAAGGAGGTTAACCAGTTAATGCTACACAACCCATTATCATATATTAAACGACAACCTCAACTCGGAGATGAGCTGGGAACAGGCAGGATCAATCCCTTGCTCTCTTCCAGGAAGTCAATCTTCATCTTCTACCAAAAGAAATACCATGAGGACTCACCTGTGGATCAGTCATATCCAGCAGCACAGCCCTGGGGCAGAATGGTCTGATTTATGAACACATAGACAGCTAGTATTATCACAACTCCACTAGGTGTTACAAAGCCTTGACCCTGAGAAAGCCATCCATCCCTGGGACCTCGGTTATTTGTAGAATGCAGAAAGCCCGCTGCCCACCTTAAATGTAAAAGGCTGTTTATAGTCTATAACCATCTCCACGGTCAAATGATTTCTTAGCATACAGATATTTCACATGATTGTACCGGGAACAGGGTGCAGGCCAGAGGAGGGTCTGACTGTAATGGGAGATGTCTTCATCCTTTTTATCCTTTTGTATTTTTATGTATGTGTGTGTGTGTGTGTGTGTGTGTGTGTGTGTGCAGCTATTCATGTCACAACATGTATGCAGAAGTCCAGGTCTCAGGAGCTAGTTCTTGCCTTCCCCTTATTAAAGCAGTCTCTCTTGCATTTTCTGTTGACCCTCTGCACACTCCATGCTTGCTGTCTCCAGCTTCTGGGTAAGTCTCCTGTCTTGCCATATGAATGCTGGGATTACAGATGCTACATCTGGCTTTTTACGTAGGTTTCTGGAGTCTAACTAGGGTCATCAGCCACCGTGGGGGAGGGGGAACCATCACCCTCACCCTGGAAGATTTCTTTAAGGGAATCCCCTCCTAGCCCTTCTGTAGCCTCACACACAGCTGGTATTTCTCAGAAACATATTAAAATGACAACTTCCGGCCATTTCATTTTTGTGTCCTTTTGTAGTCTATTTCCAGCACCTATGACTCCATGTTTATGGAGATACTCAATGAGCTGGCAGTCCATCACAAACTGGAAGAGGACTTGGACATGCCCCAGAGTAAGATCATGGAGAGCAACAGTAAAAGGAAGCTGGGAATCTTGTAAGTAACTGGTGAGGGCGTCTGGTCAGTGGGTTCCAGGAAGCCAGATGTGGCAATCTGGTGAGTACAAATACCACAACCGGGGGAGGAGGACTGAGCTAGAATCAGGCTGGGGTCCTGAGTCACGAAGCAATCCCAGGCCAGGAGCAAAGGATACAGGCAACACCCCAAAGTCAGATGCACACAGGACCCAGTGGCCAGAGCCAAAGTTCACAAGGAAGGAAGGTCTAAGGTTGCGAGGCACAAAGCAGAAGCGAAGGCAAGTGATGCTTTTGCCATGTATATTGACGTGTATACAGGTAAAAGGCCCTGAGCCCCGGGGAAGGCAGTGTTTAGGCGTCCTTAAAGATAAACCACACTGCCTACGTGTGCTTGAAATTCTCCTACCAGGACTGCTTGGCTGTCTGCCTCTCATAGATATTGGTGTCATTTCTATTTGGTTGGATCTAGTGACCTGAAAGATTGCATTGATTGTTTTAAGTTTCAAAGGGTTTCAAATAGTCCTGGCCAGTTTGTGGGCCATGCTAACTTTCCATGCTATGTCCAGATGTGAGGCCCAGATGATTCAGTTAGGCCATAGAAAGTATGGCTGCAGGAACTTAACTCATACAGCTACCCTGGCTGCTGGACCTCCCTGTCTGCCTTTGGCCCCAAGATGACCTCACTGGATTCATTTAGAAAGACTTGGGGTCAATTCAAGTACCCACACTGATCAATTACTGGCTGTGTGGGAAGCCCTGAGTGGGTGCTTACTTGTCAGCCCTTAATTCTTCTGAGCACCGGCCAGAAGGGAGTCTGGGTCACACAGCAGAGCCCTCTGTCCAGCTTTCCCCAACATAAGACTCTACAGCTTCTAAGCCCATCATGCCATGTATTGTGGTACACAAGCATGAATTAAACTTAACTTTTGAAGATTATTTACATTCCTTTCAGGTTGAAAAAAAGTTTTGAAAAATACAGACAAACACTTTTATGGATTGTGAAAAAACGTAGAGGTAAGCACCAACCTACCAGTCTCCCCCTAGGTCTGGCCTTTGCTAGGTTTCTCCTCTCTAGTAGTATTCAGGACCCTTACCCACCTCCACTGCCACCTAGGGGATGGTGCCACCCACAATGCCCTGTGCCTTCCTACATCACTTATCAGGACAATTTCCACAATCGAGACTGAGCCACAGACATACCTCATTAACCCATGTGACCCTGGGCTGTGTCAAGCTGACAGTTAAAACAGACCGGTAGGACTTCTAAACTGAAAGTGAAATAATACAAGGCTTGGCTCACCATAATGCATCACCATCGTGCCTGCCTGTCTCTCAGGACACCTGAGGCCTAAAATGTTTGAGTGGTCTATATGAAAAGCAATGGCTTTATTTGGAGAGGGGCTTTCCCTTCATGGCCCTGGGGTAACCAGTTCCAAGGAAACCTGTAGGCACCTTTGAGAGGCTTCCTCTGTCTGACCTATTGTCCCATTTCCCTGACCTGCCTCCCCACATCTCTGAACAAGCTAATTTCCAAGCTCGGGTTGCATTAAGATGCCATCATACAGCGAACTGCCTTGGGAGCGGCTCTGTGCTATTTTAAAGCCCTGCTGGCATTGTCTTGAAATTCTTAGTAATTTCATGACAAGGGTCTTTGTATTTATATGCAAATCATTAAATGAGCTAGCATCTCCTATCCAGAACCATCTATTCCAATGAAAAGACTACAAGAAGTGATGGTGGTAGAGCACGCCTTTAATCCCAGCACTGGGGAGGCTGAGGCAGGAGGATCTCTGTGAGTCCGAGACCAGTCTGGACTAATAGAGTGAATACCAGCACAGGCAGAGATACACTGAGAAACCGAGGAGGCGGAGGAGGAGGAGGAGGAGATGCACAAGAAACATGACAGAGCTTATATTATAAGCCATCAGAGTGCAAAGTTCTTGGTTTTCTTGTGGTACTGGGGCTTAACCAGTTTTAACTGGGTCTTGTGCATCTGCCCCTGAGCCACACATCCAGCCACTCTGCAGAGCTGACCTTCTGCTGTCTGGCACCATGCTTCACAGCAGTTCGTGGTTGTCGCAGTCAGGGGTATAGCCTTTCCATTTTAAGGGATCTGGGACCCGGGCACCTTCCACTTCTTGAGATTCAATTCTCCCTGCCTCCTGCCTCCATGTCTTAGTCCTTTCTTCACATGGTTTCCACATAGTAATTTTAAAACCCTTCCCTGGACCCTCCTTGGTCTCCAAGAAGATACCTACATTCTTCAAATAGTTGACAAGGCTCTCGGCTTTGCCTCTCTGGCCACATTGGCTTTTTGCTCTGCCATTGCCTGGGCCAAGGACCCCTTGCTGTGGAGCCTCGGTGCTTTCTTTTTTTTATTTTTAATTTAAAAAAATTTTATTAATTACACCTTATTTACTTTGTATCCCCCCTGTAGTTCCATCCTCCCCTCCCAATCCCTCCCTCCCTCCTCCACGCATGCTCCTCCCCAAGTCCACTGGTAGGGGAGGTCTTCTTTTCCTTCCTTCTGATCCTCCCTGAGACTGATAGTCCAACCAAGTAGCATACATGGAGATAACCCAGAATCTCTGCACAGATGTAGCTCATGACAGTCCAGTCTCCTAGTGGGTTCCATAGTAATGGGAACAGGGACTGTCTCTGACATGAACTGATTGGCCTCCTCTTTGATCACCTCACCCTGAGGGGAGAGCAGCCTTACCAGGCCACAGAGGAAGACAGTGCAGCCAGACCTGATGAGACCTAACAGACTAGGATCAGAAGGTACTTTCTATTGCTTCTGCCTGGAACAGTCTTCTCTCCAACCTCCTGTGGCTTGCTCCCTCCCTCCCACCAGGACTCCACTTAAATGTTACCTTCTCAGGTAACATTTGGCTACTCTTTATAAAGCCGTGTGTGCACATACCACTAGGCATTCTTCCTCTGCATAGTAGCTCTTTATAGTACTTGTAACCATCTGGCTTGTCACATGAGACAGAGGGGACTATAGTCCCCTGCATGCTTAGAAAGGTTCTTTGTCCTCCGGTTGTTTATTGAGAGCACAAGCAAATTAACGGTCTACCTGTACCTGCCTCTACCAAGTCACCTGTCTCTACTAACCCATTTCCACACGAACCTTCAGCCACCCGTACATATGCTAGGACTCCCTCACACATTGTACATTATTGACATGCCTTTCCTGAAGAAGTCACTTGCGCTTAAAAGCCTGGATTACTTTCTCCTGTGAGCTCTCCTGTACTGGCCCCAAATGGTGAACACCCAGGGCTTGCTGAAGTGACCTCCCATGACCAGGTACACCCCTCAAGAGCATCATAAGGGAGTCCACAGACACAGGTCCTTACCATGGCCCCCAGTGCCATGTTCAGCTCATCCAAGAGACACGAGAGAGAGCTCGCCTCCCGCCCCAACTCCCGGGTTATAAAAATGGACAAAAAGATTAATATAGAAATGGGTTTCCATGAAAGCTAAGCTAAATGCTCTTTTAGGTGTTCAATAAGAAAATAACATTTAAGAATCTGCTTTCAGTTCACTGTGAATCAAACACGCAAAAGATTTAGAGACTGTTGGCTATTTTGAAAGATTATATGATTCTGCACCCAACCTATTTAGGAAACTGCCAAAACTGAATAGTGCAAAATAAACCATGGGGCTGAGGCTGGGGCCGGGGCTCAGTTAACAGAGTGCTTGCCTTACATGTATTAGGTCCTAGGTTCAAATCCCTACATAAACAAGGAGCTGAGGCATGTGCCTGTAATTTTAGTGCTCCAGAGATAGAGCCAGGGAGATCAGGAGATCAATGCCCGTCTGAGCTCCATGAGGTTCCATGTCAAGAAATGAATAAATAATTCAAACTACGAATGCAATTCAAGTAAAAATGATCCCCGAGCCCCAGTCGTCAGACCTCAAAAGAAAGGCTTTTTCTTACATCTTAAATAACACATTAACACTTATATTTCACATTACAATAACAATAACATATCCAAGGTACATTTCCTTTTATTGAAAAGTCAGCTCTCGAGTTAGCCTGTGTTTTCATTTAGCGGCCATGCGGAGCAGAGAGAGCTGTGACGGCAGCTCTCCAGAGCGTGCACTGCCATCTCTGTATCCTCAAGGCTCTGTCGCCCAGCACCGGGCTGGCACAGATCAGCTCCATAATGACACTCGGTGAGTGGAAGTAGAGAAACAGGCAGCTGGGATTTCAGCTCCCTCCTGCCCATTTTCAAGGGCCTTGCTCTCCCTATTCCCCAGCATGCCCGGCTTACCTGGGGAGTGGCAGGGCCCTTAACACACGGTAGCACCTTGACAGAGTGTAGCTTGACTCCCTACTAAAAGCAGTCGCTGCCACGTTCTGAATGACAGGTCAGAAGCTGCCAGACAGCACCACCACTACATTCATGATATCGGATATACTGGCGACTGAGAAAGCTGAGGCAGAAAGACTCTTAGAGCGCTCTGCTCTCCAGAGGAGATTAGTACCAGACAAAGAATGGATACAGACAGCGCTGAAGGTAAAAAATAGCAATGTGTTGGTGTGTTCACTGTGGTCAGGCTTTTTTTGTTTTGGGGTCAGGTGAGGCACAACACATCATCACAGAACTGTCGAGGCTAATATATGAAGTGGACACAAACAAAAAATAGTTTTCAATATGTCAAGACACAAGCTGCCTGTGTAGGCTGTTGAAACATTGACTAGGGTTTCAGTAGGCCTGGGTGAGAGTCTTCTCCCCGTAGGACCTGTATTAAGCAATTGGATGTGGGGGGAGCAGAAAAAAGAAACTGCACGGTGGGGCTGAAAAGATGGTTAAGAGCATGGACAGCTCTTCCAGGGGACCTGAGTTCAATTCCCAACACCCGTATCAGGCAACTCATAACTGCCCATAACTCCTGCTTTGGTATCTGGTCTGGGTATCTGACACCTCTGGCCTTGTCAGGCAACCACACATGTATTCACAGACATACTCACTCACACACACTCACAGTTAAAATAAATAAGCAATCTTTAATCTTTAAGATTAATCTTTCATTAATCTTTAATAAGCTACATATTATTAATGGGTAGTTTCTTGGTAATAAATTAAAATCGATATTTTAAAGAGTCAGTTACACAAGGGAATAGCTACATAAACTGTGGTACAAGCATAGAGTGGATCTAGAAGGCTGAGGCAGGAAGATCAAGAGTAAAAAATCAGGAGCAATGGGAGGAAAAGAGGGAGGGAGAGATGGAAGAAATGAAAGAAGGAAGGAGAGATGGAGGAAGTGAGGAGGAAGGGACAGAAAGTAAAGGAAAAGGAAAGGAAAATAGAGAGAAAAAAAAAAGAAGCAGCAGCGTGAGTTGTCCAGCTGTGAAGAGACATGAAGGAAGCTTGAGCTTCACTTGAGCGGGAGAAGCCAGCATGGAAGGACAGCAGACTGTGTGGTCCTGCTCTCTCACATTCTGGGAACAGGACAGACGATAGAGAGCATACATGATGGGTAGCAGCAGGGGCCGTGCAGAGGAAGAAACAGGCAGAGCAGAGGATTTTTCAGGGCCTCGAAGCCGTCCTCTAAGGACACCACAGTGACGGACACAGGCCATTTTACCTATGTCTAAAACCCCGAGAATGCGCAGCCCCCAAATTGAACCTATGGGGGTGAGGTGGCCATGGCGTGTCAGCCTAGGCTCATTTATTGTAACAAGCACACCATTCCAGGAGAGGAACTGATGGCAAGGCCACGGGGCTTGGAAAAGACAGGATATGGGATTCTCCACATTTCCACTCAGCTTCGCTTTGGTGTTGACGGGACATCTTACTCAGGACTGATAACGTCAAGCCATGAGTGGAAACCATGCTTGAAACTTCAGTCACTGAGCATGAGCACAGAAGCCCAAAAATGAGGTCTGAAAGATGAGGTGATCTCTATGCCTTCGGTGAAAGCGCACAGAGCATGCAGGCACCCCCTGCTGCTGGAGCTACTGTGGTGAGCCTGAATGCCACAGCGGAAAGGGCGGGGCTAAGCAAAGCTCCTCCTACACAGGAAGCACAAAAGCCAAGGCAAGGGCCAGGATCTCAACTTGACCTCCAAAAGGTCATGAGCCCATGAAGTACTTCTTCAAACTAAGCCCTTCCAGTAACAGTAGTGCCATCCGCCGGGGACCACTCCTTCACTGTGTACGCTTTTCAGGGAGTGAGGCCCAAACTACAGCATCCACTCCCTCCAAGACACTAAGGCGTGGTAGCCATCTGCAGAAAATAAGTGCCTTCACAACAGACCCCCATGTTACATGTTCTTCCTCATGTTACATCCACTTACTTTAATCTCAAAGCTCCTTTGAGTGGTTTTCCTGTGAGGCGGGTGTCCAAGCTATAGGCTTTACCTTCTATCGGAGGTCTTTATCACCCCAAAGTTCTAGTGACGTGGAAGATACTAGGAAAGCAGCAGGGTCCACCACCGTGGCTCTTTCAGCCTCCATCCATGCTCGGGACCCTCCACCTCTCAGTTCTGTGTGTAGAAGAGAATCCAAGGCAACTCAGCGCAGCCGCCAAACCCCTGCAGACAGAGGAAAGGGCTCTCCAGGTCACCTAGGCCATGGTAATGGTTAGAAACCTCGCTAGATCTTAGCCCCCCGCCCCCGCAGCCTCACTTCCAATAAATTAAAGGAAACTGTTCTCCAATTAAGCCTAATCAGCTCCACCAGAGACACAAAGCCTTTCTAGAAACCTGTGGGACATCTGCAGTGAAGGGGCGCACAGTAGCCCACTAAACAGGCCTCAGCAAACCACTTAAGCCACGTCCTCCCACCCCAATGCATTTTAATTCATAACAACAATGGCATCACTGAAGGTACCATACCCATTGCCACATATAAGCACACTTACATTACTCCGACATCAAGAGGAGAGATCATATTGGTCCTTGACAATATTAAGAATGGAATAAAGATGAAAATGAGATGGATTCACTCCTGGGAAACAGCTAAAGCCATATCCAGAATTCACTGTTTTAACTGCTCATAAAATGCAGGGAGAGGGGGAGTGTGAAAAAGAAAAAAAATCCACATAATTAGCATCCAGAGTTGGAAAGAAACTTAAAAGACAAGAAAAAAAAAAAAAAAGAAATAGAATAAATAAAATATAAACCAATAAAATAGTAAAGCAAGCAGCCTTCCTGGCAATATCGAGCCAGAGGGGGGAAAAAAACCTTTTAAAGTATAAATATGAAGAATTAAGACATAAGGAAAGAGGACATTGAAATATTTTTAACAGCACATGCAAGCTTTGTACAGCAATAGATGCAAAGTTTTACATAAAATGATAATTTCCTAGAAAAATATAATTTACTAAAACTAATTCAAGGACAAGTTTTTTTAAAAAAAACAAACAAACAAACAAAAAAAAACCAAAAAAAAAAAAAAAAACTAAATTTACCAGTGCTATGTGTTGAGAATTGTTCTCTTAAAAGAACATTAAAGGTCTTAACCTCCTGCGTCATAGTGTGGCCTCATCTGGAAAGAGCATCCCTAAGGATGTAATTAGTCAAAGATGAAGGCAAACAGGAGGAGGGAATGGTAAGCTAGGACCCTACCCACTTACAAGCCTTGAAAGGACACCAATTAGCACATGGAAACAGAGGCAGAGTCTGGGGAGGTGTGTGCCAGCAATGGTGGCCAATCGCCAGGCGCTCGGGGGAAACCAGGAGGAACTGTCTTTGCAGGCTTGAAAGACCTAACACGGCCCACACCTTCAACTCACATATGTTGCCTCTGCAATGGTGAAAATTATATTCCTTTTTAAGATTTATTTATATATGTGAGTGGTGCACCTATGGGCACCATGTGAGTGTCTGGTGCCTGTGGAGGTTAAGAGAGGGCACTAGATCCCCTGGAACAGGAGTTACAAACAGTTGTGAGCCATCATGTGGGTGCTGGGAATGAACCGGGGCCCTCTGCAGGAGCAACGAGTGCTCTTGACTGCTAAGGCTCCTCTCCAGCCCTGAGAACACAGTTCTCTGAGAACTAGATGGCCTAGGTAGTTAAAAGGCTAGTTTTTATCTACCTGTGCATGCCCCAGCCACTCACACACATACCATTGCAGCTGAGCCTCCCCCTCATATGGGCGAGTAAACTGTGACCCTGGGTGCTCCCAGCGAGCAGGTAGGAGCCAGAGGCAAGGCAGTATACGGTGCTCAGAGCAAGGAGATGCAGGGACTGAGCATTCTGTGACTCCCCCTTTCTTTGAAGGACAGCCGTCACCTACCTGCTTTCCTTGTCTCCTCTTCCCAGGAACATGAAGGTGACGGACAATCAATTCCCTACCATAGTGGGATACCCTTCAACATTTTTTTTCCTGATGGCACAGGTCAAATATAGTATCCACTGAGGAAAAGGGACAATCATGTTGACACCTAAGATGTTTGTGATTCTTACCTAGGGTGTGGGTTTTGACTGAGGACTGTGTCCTCTTCGGGGGCCTAACCTTTTTTAGGGGGAGAGGGGCTGTCCCAAGGAACTGCTTGTGCCTTAACCGACCTACAGCTATCCGTCAGGGAACCTGGCTCTTCTCATCTCCTACAGTTCAGTCACAAAGGTGACGTATATTGTTCTGGAAGACTGTGTAGATACAAAGATCCGAGGCTTTGCCAACAGTTCTGGCCATGTCACCTTCAACGACGAGACGGGAAAGCTATGGTAAGACTGAGTCTTCACATCCTAATACCTGGGGCCACATGGAAGTGGTATGGTGGAGGTTTGGCCCCTGTCTCCTAATCTGTGTATGTTGGAAACACAGGAAGGGGTATTATGAAGGATGAGCACAAAGTCTGCCCTCAGGGAAGATGCCATAGTGTTCCCCAGGGGGAAAGAGCAATCACCGCCTCTATGATCACATGCTTAGTGGCTTCATCTCTAAACATCTCCCAAGAGTCCAACCTTGTGAGAACTGCCCCAGAAAGCCCCAGGTCCCATTATTCTGGGAGCCTGGGAGTAGGGCTTTAGAGACACACACATCATATACAGAATCCAGAGTGAAAAGGTACATTCTAAATATTTCATTAAAATCAAACTTTTTTTCTAAAGTCTTTAGTTCTGGTAGTGGTGAAAGCATTGAGGGTTACTAGGTCCCCTGAAACCATCCCTTAGCCTTTCTTAGCTGCTCAGTTCTTCCTGTTCCAGCTGACATGATTACAGTATAGGAGAAAAATGTTCTCTTGGGCTAACTTATTTTCATCAAAGCCAAATTCACTTTTAGCTCTAAATTAATTCTCTCATCTGCCTGGCCTTGGCTTTCAGACACCATTTCTGGGTTGGTTGGAGTCCTTACTCTGAGTACTGTCCACTCTCCCCTGAAGGTCATGCATGTAGAACACGCTGTCTGCAAATCAGATCCCAAAAACAGGAAGCACAGCGCCTTGAGGCAAGACATGCAGTTAATGATCACAAATCTTGCCTGGGGTCTCTTCTCTCTGAAGTTTTAAAGCCAGAGGAGAAACCTGGAGAAATCTAGAACCTGGCCACTATAGGTAAAGAAGCATGGACTCAAAAGGTGACAGTCACTCACCCAGAGTTGTGCATAAAATTAGAGGAACAAGTTCTTAAGGCATTTACTTGCCCTGATGGAAAGTTAGTCTGGAAACCATTACATAGCAGCTATGATCCCAGGATCTGTCAACACCCAGAGGTCAGGGAGAGGGTCAGAGCAGGGGTGAGAGCTGACTCCATCCTCAAGACCCTGCCCTGTGGGTCTGGGATCCAGAGGGTAGAGAAGAGCACAGCAAAGCTCTGAAAGGAGTGCAGGAGAGGATGCCATGCTGCCACCTGAGGCTGAAGGGAGCATGACAGATCCTGGGCTTGGGTGGACATTCCTTGTTGGAAGCTCTCTATCCCACTGTCTTCAGTAGGGTTTCTATTGCTGCGGTGAACCACCATGACCAAAAAAAGTCAGTTGGGGAGGAAAGGGTTTATTCAGTTTACACTTCCGCATCACTGTTCATCATTCAAAGAAATCAGGACAGGAATTCAAGCAAGGCAGGAACCTGGAGGCAGGAGCAGATACAGAGACCATGGAGGGGTGCTGCTCACTGTCTTGCTCCTCATGGCTTGCTCAGCCTGCTTTCTTATAAAACCCAGGACCTCCAGCCCCGGGATGGCACCACCCACAATGGGTTGGGGCCTCCTACATCAATCATTAAGAAAATGTCCTACGGTTGGATCTTACAGAGGCATCTTCTTGAAGTTTCCTACTCTTAAATGACTTTAGCTTGTGTCAAGTTGACCTAAAACTATCCAGCACTCTCACCCAAACTCAGTAGTCCCAGGAGGAAAAAGGAAAGTGGGAGGATCACAGGGGATCAGGAGGGCCATACCCGGCCCCAGCATAGTAATGTCTTACACATCTCCTTCCCACAGGTTGAGCCTGAGCAAAATCCTAGGCTACTACTTCCCTATAAACAAGCCTCATAAGGCCTGGAACTGGTGGAACCTGAGCTTGCATGTTCATGCGCCCCCTGTGGCATGCATCACTCTGAAACTCAACAAGTACATCCACATAGAAGTAAAGAACCAGGACACAGTCATGTTCTACTTCTGCAGCCCCAAACAGAAGCGGATTTGTTTTAACATGGGCGCCAGGTTCAAGGTAAAGTCTTCACTCCCCTGACCAGAAATCAAAGAAAAGGGATTGGAAGAAGGGGGGTGAGGAAAAGATAGGTGCAAGGACTCGCCCTACGTGACCTCCTTCCTCCAGCTAGGCTACACCTCCTGCTTTCCATCAACCCCAATAATAATGCCATCATATTCAGAATCCATGAAGGGATTCCACATCTGAAACATCACCGCACACAGAAGTGTGCTTTAGTAAGCTCCAAGATGATTCTCACCCCAGTCAAGATTGACAGTTGTCCTAGTTAGGGTTTCTGTTGCTGGAAACACTGTGACGGAGTTGGAGAGGAAAGGGCTTATTTAGCTTATGTTTCCATATCTCTGTTGGTCATCAAAGGAACTCAAACAGAGCAGGAACCTGGGGGCAAGAGCAGATGCAGAGGCTACAGAGGGGTGCTGCTTACTGGCTTCATTCCTCTGGCCACCAGCCAGCCCTGGGATGACACCACCCACCATGGACTGCTCTCTCCCCCATCAACCACTAATTAAGAAAATGTCCTACAGGGTTGCCTACAGCTCAATCTATGGAAGCATTTTTTCTCAGTTGAGGTTCTCTCCTCTCAGATGACTGTAAGGCTGTGTTACAAGTCTAAACATTACCCAGATCAACACTCAAGGTTAACCATTGTCTCAGTTAGGGTTCCTATTGCTCTGAAGAGACACCAATACCATGGCAACTCTTATAAAGAAAAACATTTAATCGGGGCTGGCTTACAGTTCAGAGGTTTAGTCCATTGTCATCATGGCAGGAAGCATTGCATTACACAGGCAGACATGGTGCTGGAAAAGGAGCCAAGAGTTCTACATCTGGATCAGCAGGCAGCAGGAAGAGATGCCCAGCTTGAACATCTGAAACCTCAAAGTCCACCCCCAGTGACACACTTCCTCCAACAGAGCCACACACCCCAATAGTGCCACTTCCTATGAGCCTATGGGGGCCATTTTTATTCAAACAACCACAACCGTATTGCCTTCCTTTCCTTACACGCACTTGCATAACATGCCAGCACCTTAGGCTTGCACACCAGTGAAACCAATGCCCCAAAGAGCTTCACTTGTTCACAGCAGCAGTGTTGGAAGTCAAGGCCAAATGCAGGGTCCTCTACAAATGCACTGCTCTCACATACATATCCCAAAATGGCGCAGAACAGCAGACACCAGGGCTGGCTCACCTCTAGTTTCGCTGGAAAGCAGTGTCAAGCTGCATCAGCAGGTCATGTGACCCTAGGAGGAGGCCAGGTGGACATTTGGGACACAGCAAAAAAAAAAAGCTGTGGGTAGCAGAGCTGGTGAGTCAGATCTGCCCTGGGAGTTCTAGAGACATTCACCATGTCCACAGCGGGGTTAGATCCTGGGTGGGCACAGCATCTGAGCAGCAATAATCCTGACCCAGTCATCTACGTACCCCACAGTCAGTAAGACCGAAAATACTTCAAGCCATGAAGAGGAAGTCAGTCCTGGAGACAGACCCCCGCCCAATGTCATGGAAGATCCAAGCCCTTCTGGGAAAAATAAGTAGGCAGCTGAGTCTCTCCACCCTGTCTGAGTTGGAAGACTTCATAGCAGTCACCCAGGTGGCACTCGAGGACCTCAATGCAAAGAAATCAAGAATCTGGTCCTAGGGCAGCGACCAAATTGTCTCGGGCCTCCACTACCTGTCTTGGAAAAGGAGAGACCTTGGGAGCTGTAGGGAACCCACAAAGACTTTTTTATGTCTTTGAGAGTCCGCCTGTAGTTCAGGTCTTGTTGTAGCTCCTTTGTTGGGGGTTAAAAAAAAATAGAGTTTGGGGGAGTTAAACTTAACTCAGAGAAGACTTAGTGGAGACATATTATCATCTTAGTAAGTAACACTGGCCACCATCTGTCCCCTTGCTCTTGTCGCTGAGGTCCAGAAATTCTTCCATGACTGTCAGTACTTGGCTTTCACTCGACACATAGACCACCAAGCTCTGTCTTTCATTATCTGTCTGTCTCTGGGCGAGCTGCTTTATGTCTCAGTTTCTCATCTGTAAAATGAGCCTAGAAATCCTCCCTGCTATGACAGAGTCGAGAATATTGAATTCACTTGTGTAGGTAGTATCTTTGAACTGAACCCACACAGTGAGCATCCCTGCAGTGCTTGTAGCTCAAATGTCAAAGTTCAGGCTGGGTGTCTGCATTCACCTTGGTTTATGGCATCAGCCCGCACTCTGTCCATGGTCTTTTCAGTCATCATTCTGACTACCATTTACCATGCCTGGGCCAGGAGCTAGTTTGGCTGTGTGTTAAGTGCTGTTCAGGCTCTGTGACACAGATAGCATTTTTTTTTTTTCTTGAGGCTGAGAGAGGCACAGTGACCTCCTTTACATCCCATAAGCTACCTGTCTGCTTAGGGACATCACCCTTGTAACGACACAGTTATTTGTTTGATTTGCCACCTCAGTGTACCTCCAAACCTCAAGGTCCCTCCCCCCCCCAAAAAAAAAACACACCTGCCCTTCATCCACTTTTGTCACAGGGTCCACATCTATCCCAGTCTATCCCGAGGCCCTCTGGAAGACTGTCCTGGTCGATAAGATGCTGTTGGCATTGTCCAAGTCACACCCTTCTCTAGTCCCTAATACTAGAGTACTAGTACTCAAGCCCACACCTCCTCTACTTTGGCACACTTGAAGAATGGTGCAGAATGCTGCTGCTCATGCCAGGCTAAGAATGCAACAGAAAACCCTCACTCTTGGACCCCACTATTTCTGCACTGCCTCCAAGGCTGTCACTAACACTGACCCTGTCACACAGATGGCCAACTGTCTAATCAGCTCCATCACAGCAAAAGGAAACCCAGACAGAAACCCAACAGCAGTCTGCACTCAGTTCCCTAAACTAGAAGCTGAACCAAAGCCCAATTGACTCCTCAGATATCTGGGACTCTTTGGGTCACTGGTAACGATCAGCTCAGTAGCTGGACCAAAGCAGAAAATACGTAGTCACCTACCTGAAACACTCCTCCAAAGAAGTGGCAATGACCTCTGGATCAGAGCCCAGAAGGCCCAGTCCTGGGACACCCACCTTGTCCTAGAGAGTTGTTCTGTACATCTGTTCATAGGTGTCTGTCCCTGAGGATTCTTGAAGACCCTAGAGGTCTCTGATTCACCCTCCTTTCATTAGACACCCTGGGTCTAATCCAGTGTGGCAGAGGCTTTGTTTACTGCAAAGCTCCATGATATCCTGCCATGGGGTGGAGTAGTTGGTAAAAAAGGAAGAGTTGGCACCCAGCCCCCAGCAAAGTGCCTTTTATGTAGACACAGGGTACCTATTCTTTCCAGGATAACCTTAACCCCAGCCTCAACCAAGAAAACCAAACACTTCTCAGCCAAGGCTGGCAGTTAGCCATTCTCTAGCACGAACAACCATACCCAAGTGCCGCCACTGTGACCTACCTGCCTATGACTCACCACTGGCTGCCACGCACTTTCAACAAATGTCACCACCCCCAACCATTACCTGAGCAGCTGAAATGGAGCCAGAGGAAGACGGCTTCAGAGGTGCCACTTTTGTGGGACTGTCACTTTTTTTTTTGTGGGACATAGACACTTTTGTGGAACTGTCACGCCTTATTGGTGAGTGGCAGAAACAGAACGCTGCTGCAAGGTAATGAGCTGTGACAAATGTGGCACTTTGTTGGCATCCCTCTGCGCACCAACACCAACATTTTAGTAACCTCTTGGCACATCATCCACACCCGATGTATGTAGAATCCCTTTTCCTTACAGCTGTGCTTTGGATCTTAAATGTCTCTCCTGTCCCATCCCTAACTGTATCAAAGGCTTGGTCCCCAGCCTGATGCACTATTGAAAGGTGGAGGAACTTTTCAGAAGTAGGGTCCAGTGTAAGAAAGTTGGGTAACTAGTAAAGAGATATTGGGCCCCTGGGCCCCTCTCTCCTTACTTCCTTGATGCATAAAATAAGCAGCTTTGCTCTATCATTCATTTCCCACCATGACACTCAGCCCACCACAGGCCCAAAGAGACACGACCAAACAAGCATGGACTGAAGCCATGAACCAAAATAATTCCTTCTTTCACATTGTCTCGGGACCTCATGCACTTAGGAGGACAACCTAAAGCTATTCAGGCATTGCTTCTGTCCCTGATGAAGATGATGGGTATGAAGCCATTACCACTGCTCAGGCTACTGCTACAGAGCACCCTGGCAACTTGTGTTGTTGGAGAAGGGGGTACTGTTTTGCTTGTTACAGCCAGGTGCTTGTCCACCTTGACATTTTATGGATTTAGGAAGACTGTATATACTATAACTTTAGAGTATCTCATTTACTAATGGGAAAACTCAGGTTTTGGTTCATTATATAAGAGAGCCCGCTTAAAACAAAATCTTTCAAGCGAAAGAAAGGAGAGTTAGTCATCAAAAAAGTTAAGGAGAGGCGCCCAGATCTCCAACACTCGAATAAATGCTGCACAGATGCCAGGGCCCAACCATAGCCCCAGTGCTCAGCAGGTAGGGAGGGGATTCCTGAGGCAAGCTGGATGGCTAGACTTCCCAAATCCGGGAGCACTGGGTTCAGGTAGGAGACCCTGCCTCAGTATATATAAGAGGAAGATTGATAAAGGAAGGCTTTGGGTATCAAGTTTGGGCCTACACACACACATGCACAGTACACACAGGCATGCACCCATGAGGAGAGGAAGGGACTGAAGGGAGGTGACAACCAAGTCAAATGTATAAATACAGACTTTGAAAAGCTATAAGGCAGTAGAGGGGGAGTAAGTAAGTTGCCACATAGACTACATCTTAGATACTGGATTTGTTTTTTAGATGTGTTAATAGTGGGACTTGAAAAAGAGTATTATTCTTTAAGAGACTGATGCTAAATATTTAGGAGCAAAATGTTTCACATACAACTCAAAAACACTTCAGCCAATGAAATGTGTGGTTTTTACTAATTAATTAGTAATTTAATTTTACTAATTAAAACTCAACTAAATGTGTAACAGAACCCAATTTGGTAAGAAAACTTGTCTTAAGAATATACACAGGAAAGTCTGGAAGCTATATGCCAAATACTTAATGGTTGGCTTTGGGAAGGCCAGCCCATTTATTAGACCTTCATGTTTTGTATCAGAATTCAAACACTACAGCTGACTAGCAGTGGGCATATCTGTATAACTGGAAAATCTTTCCCCTCGTACTTTAAGGGAGGAAACAGATACTTGCCAGGTGACTGTATAAACAGACGCCACTATGCTGCTTTCCACCAGCCCCACCCTTTGCAGAAGGGTCCCCACGGCAGCAACACGTGGAAGGACAGGTCCATAAGACCACCTCCGAGTGAGCTGAGACAGGGTGACTGCTGAGCGGGGGGGCCAGGCAACGCAGCGAAACTGTCTCCACCAAAGACAAAAGACAAAACTAGAAAAGAGAAAGCACCCCAAGGGGGGTGGAAAAGCCAAATCCCTGTCCTGCACTGGGGCTACCACCAACACCTCCAGGTTCCTTTAACCCAGTGGGTCTCAGCCTTTATAGTCTGCAAACCTCATTACATTTCCCTGTGCTGTGGTGACCCCAATCACAAAATGATTTCCGTTGCTACTTAATAATTGTAATTTTGCTGCTGTTATGAATTGTAATGTAGATATTTTTGGAGACAGAGGTTTGCCAAAGAGGTCGTGCCTCACAGGTTGAGAACTAGTGATTTAACACACAGCCCCCTTTAAAAAACTGACTGTATGCCCTATTTATGAGGTGCCAGCAGGGGAGAATTAAAAGATCTGGGATTGTTAAACCAAGGGGAAAATACAATGGTGTTTGTATTATTATTACAACACTACTTAATTTCAATGAAACCATCTGTGCTGACAGTACTCCGGAAATTGGCAGTCTCACAAATATTTTTTTAAAAAAGGAAAAAAAAAACTTTCTCTCACTCTAGTTTGGCTCTGGAATGTCTCCCAAACTTCCATGTGTTTTTTTGTTTTCCAGCCATGGTGCTACTCAAAGATAGTGGAATTGTTTACAGGGGAGGCCTTCTGGTCAGAGGTGGGTCCTTGAAGCGGTTACTGGTACCCGCACACCCTTGTCCTTTGTTGATTCCCAGACGTGCAAGGGGCAGCTGTGCTGTACCATGCTCCCATGCCCACGCCATGCGGCTTTACCACAGGCCCCAAAGCAATGGGAGTGTAAAATGGTAAACTGTCATGTGCTGTACAAGCTGTCCCTGAGAATTGTGTTTATGTCAAGAGTGCCCCACGGCCCTCTCCTGGTTCAGGCTGGCCCAGTCAGGTAGACCCCTCTGGCTCTGCAACAAGGACAAGGAGAAACAGCAAGAAAGTGAACCATTTCCAGCAGAGGTTACTATTGTTTGTCCCATGTATAAAAATGTCTACCTGGGAAGGGGAAGCTGAAGGCTCATCCATGAAGACAAAGCTCAGATTAGCATCCCTACTTGATTCTGCTGGATGCCGGAAGCCGAATTTGATGTTCTCTTTGTTTGCTCTAAATCAGGCTGTTTCAGTGTGTGCTGGATACTATGAATACCTCATTTGATACAACTTTGTTATTATCAGAGGCTTTAACTGCTACTTGCTATTTACTATATAGCTACTTGCTATATAATTAATAAACTCACTCA